CATTTTTGTGCAATATTTTCACAATTTGCCTATTACAGAACGTGTTTTCTAATAGATTCTTGGTCACCGAAAACGAATCCGGCGACGANATTGACTTAGCACGTCAAATNTTCGAGAAATTTGAGATTAATTCTTACAAAAAAGAATTACTGCCGATTACATATAAATAAAGTCAGTAATATAAATATTACTGATAATGACATAAGAATATTATTAGGTATTACAGAAATCACTGAGAATATTACTGGCAATTACACAGAATGCCAGTAATTTTTTCGTACCACTGCCGCAATATATTACTGCCAGTAATTCTTTTTCGTAAGGGAATGTATCAAAATTGGCAGTTTTGGCTATATTTATCATTTTTTTGAGGCCAAACTAAATTTTTTTTTACAATTTTACTTACACCACAAGTGCTATCTTTTATCTATACTGTGAATTTTCGATTATTACTGTACGATTTTTTTAATATACATAATTAACATTAATTTTATTAATATTCAGATCTCAAAAATGTGTTGAGAACAGTGTAATCAGTATATCTCAACAAAAAATTTGTTTGTTGTAAAGATATATTTTAAATTATATTTAATAATAATAACAAAAATTTTTATCTATTGTTGCAGGTACATTGTACTTCTTTTCTTCTTTTTAATAAAATAATAATTTACATAAATAAATAAAATGGGTAGGGTAGGATAGCTTGAGAATAAATAGATAAAAATAATTATATATTAATAAGAAACACAAGTGGTCTCGCGGATTGAGTGCAGGGGCTGCGAATGGAGATCTCGAGTTCAAATCTCGCTCACATTAGGATTTTTTCAAGTTCGGTCCCTTTTAATGGAGTTCATCGGTTGTTCGCGAGCTGAATCAGGCCTCCAGAAATTAATTCTAGTGAAATCTCGAATTAATTCCCCTCCGACAAAGCAATATGTCATTGGGTTTCTTTTTTTTTTTTTAGTAAGTAATTCCACTTCCAAGTGAAATCTATTCTAGGCAACAGATCTGGTCTGCGTTTGGTAGCAATCTGTCGACGTTTCTGACGACAGATCTGCTCTGTATTTGCTAGTGTTCTGTTGACAGTTTTGATAACAGATATGTTCTGTATTTGGCGATATTTTGGCGCCAACAGACGATGACCAAACCTTTTGTGGATTTGGTGCCTCACTTTGGCTTTGCTTTGCTAGTAGCAGATCTGTTACGATTTTGGTCTTGTTTTGGCATATTTACATGTAGGACTGATTCAATCGCCAAACCATATCCTACTGAGGACACAGTAGGCTATGGTTTTGGCATTAAATTCCGCCGGCAATTTTTGACAAATCCACAACATCCCACAACCAAATTATTTGTTGGGTATCTATTAAAAAACATACTTGTTGACATTCATAAATATATCTCTCTCGTTTGTTAATTTGGAAGCATACCATGCATATCGTACCATATTTTGAAAACTCGGGGCGGACAATTGATGATGTATGAGTGAATGAATTTTTATTCAATCTTCACGAGATGTTATTTCGTGGTTTTGTTCTATTAAAGTTGAACAATTCAGCAAACGCTTTATAAAATTTTTGACTTGTTTATAAAAATAAACGTCACACGGTTGACATAAAGTTGTGCACTTATTTATTCGCTTTTTATGAACACAATTAGTAATTAGTAATAATCTATTTATTTTTACCGTAGTTTTTTTTAAATCACAGAGTTTTTATGCAAAAAAATGCATTTTTATAACATGCAATAAATAAAAAAACATTATTTACATTTAGAATAAATAAATTACTTACATTTAGATTATATTGTAGAATTTTGAGGAGAAAAAAAAATTATATCGAGACTCGAATCAGCAGCGTTGACATTACTAACCTAGTACGCTACTGCTACGCTATGCGATCTTCGATTAAACGATCTATTTAATATTCTTATAAAGTAATTCGAAATTTTCAAATTCAATTTTCTTGCGAATGCTTGAGTAGTGCGTCTTATTACTTTACCCTGCAATACTCCACATAGTCATCTATCGATCCTATAAATTTCGTCCAAATCGATTAGTACAACGTCGCGACCTCCCCTTGTCAGATCTACTATGGACGCTTTCCAGCTACGTACACAGGCGACACAGTGTAACACAGTGTCCATTAGTGTGAGAAAAAGCGTATCAATGTGTCTCACTCACACTAGTGGACAATGTGTTACACAGTGTCGCCTATATACGTAGCTGAAAAGCACCCTATATTAGATCACTTCAGATTTGTTCAGATCTGCTTAGATCTAAGTAGATCTGAGGTAATCTAATATAGTAGATGTGAGTGATCTAAAGTAGATCTAAGAATAACTGAAGTGTAGATTTACTTAAATCTATTTAAATCTTTATATCTGTTTAAATTTAATTTGGATCTAATTAGATTCTTTTTTTATTTTGTTTTATCTTGTTAGATTTAAATCAGATCTAATCCATTTTTTCCCGGGTTAACTATAAAACCCGACTATAAATACCGATTTTAGTGTCGTTTACACGATGCTTTTTCTTCTTTTCCGTCCTGGGGACTCCACGGGCCCCTTTTTCTTGCAACGCGACGCGCCAACGCATAACAAATGATTTTTTTTAGTAAATAACAAAAAGCTATAAATAATCCAAACGGATCTTCTATCGTTTGGAAACTTAGACTTCAAACGATAGGAGAGCAACCGGAAATCACACTGGCGCCCGAAAAGATAAACCGCGCCTAGTAATAACCCGAAATTTTAAACTTATTGTTTAAACATCCTAAACAAACACGGATATCTCCGAGCCAGGAAGAACACCGCTCATAAAAATTAGACCAGCCGGAGCAAATAGAACTCCGGCACCACGAGCAATTATATTATAAACAAATACCAAAGGGTCTAGGTGGCGTGATCACCAACACTCTCCCTTTTCCTTTCTCCGGAAAATCGGACGAGCCGACCGAGCCGAGAGATCGTCGCCGATTGGCGATCTCACGAAGTTTACCCGACCACTAACTAACAAATAGGAACTGGCAGCTCGATTGAGTTTTCCGATTGGGAGAGTCCTCGCTTACTCAAAATTGTATATAAGCCAGGACTCTCAGAACCGAAGGCAGATAGAGCCGCAGATTTTAGAAGTACCACAGCGAGTGAGTAAGTGACAGTGAGTGCAGAATGTGAAATCCAAGAGTGAACTACTGCACCGCAACAGTCCAGAACCTTTTATTAATCAACATCACTGGTCTGCAGTAAGTAGTAAGTCCACAAATTTTAATCGGAGGTTCCACCACTTGGGGAATTCAATTTGAGGTTAATACTCGGAATCTATCAGAGACGCATAACCGCCTAGAAGTATCGCGAAAGCATATTATTTTGTTTCTTCGCAACCAACTCCTTTTGACCACTCTCGACGGGAGAGCAGTTTGCGACTCCAATCGTGAATAGCGTCGACCGAGAAACCAACTCCTGTTTGACCACCTTCGCCGGGAGAGCTGTTCGCGACTCCAATTGTGAATAGCGTCCGACCGAGAAGACAACTCCTTGTTCGACCACCCTCGCCGGGAGAGCTGTTCGCGACTCCAATCGTGAATAGCGTCCGACCGAGAAGTCAACTTCTGTTTGACCACCCTTGCCGGGAGAGCAGTTTGCGATTCTAATCGTGAATAGCGTCCGAATTATTTCTTTTTCCTTCCTAAATCACGGAAACAAACAAAGCACGCTTATCTCCGAATATCAGTCTTAGAATCATGACACATTCAAATTTATTCTTATCATTAAATTTATCGGAACCTATGTAAGAAATGAAACAAAACCGAATTTGTCAACTGACATAAGGAAATATATTTCTAAGATGATCTAAGTTGCGTAAACATGGGTTAAAGAGGCTGGCTGCACTAAACAACTCGTATTCCCCCTTTCTCTCACACTTGCACCGTAGCTTATAGATTACTTTGTACAAAACGATTATGCGCTCCGTCATTGTATTAGTTCAACACACCTGTATGTTAGTAATTTGCTAAGATTTTGATTTTTTTTTTTTTTATCAATATAACTACTTATTAATGTGTGGAATCAAACTAAAGAATTATTCTTTGTTATCCTTCTTTCCGTACAATCCACTCTCATTTCCTCGTTAAAATCGCTAGGTCCCGTCCTTGGTAAATGAGATTTGCGTCTCAGACCTAAAAAGGGACCAACGAGCGAGTGTTCGCTAGACAGAGTAAGATCGGCGTACGCCGTTGACCTGTCGACGAATATAAACAAGCTCTCACGACTCTCTCACAGCGGGACTTCCGTGTCCATTGTGAAGAGAGATATGGAAATCGACGCGTTTACTGTTGCGTCACACCACAGCCCGACCGTATCCATGGGCCAGGATGTGTAACATTCTTTTTATTAACATTAAATTTTCTTTTTATTAGCAATTAACATGCAGTATTCTAGCACACCAGCTGTTGAAAAACAATATTTCTAAAATACACATGAGTTTAATAACATTAGTCTTGAACGTAACATTTAATATTAATGTCTCCTTTTTGTAAAAAACAAATTATATCTGCTGCATTTTATGTAACTTTATATGCATATTCAACCAAAATACTAATAAAGTAACAACTGAAAAACTCTCGTGTTGTAAACACAAATCAAAATACTAAAGTCAGGTCAAGCAAAAATCAAGATTTTAATACTAATAAAAAGAAATTACAAACAAAGTTTGATAAAATATTTCGAACTTTCATTGAAGTCTTCTTCAGTCGCAAGTAACAAATAAAGAAAGAAATACTAATGATTTAATACACTTTTTTCAGCTGCTAACTAACGCAATAACATGTTACTTGCTACTAAAAAACATCGTGTAAACAAAGCTCTTTGAGATTATTTTTATTATAAAATTCAGTCTTTATATGTAAATAATCGATTATAGAATAATAGATAAAAATAGATTAATCAATTATCATTGATTTTTACAATCTTGAAAATATACAATTTCTTTTATATTATATTACCTTCATATCATTTGGATGACGGATAGTTATATAAATAAGAGAAAAAGTCCAAAATTTTAAGATAGGATAGTATTGATCAGTTAGTTTACACGCAACTTGCCATAATTTCTCTGAAAAAAAAGTTATCTAGATAATAATCCAGTGATAAAAGTTATAACAAAATTGGTAGATTTCTTGGTATTTTTATAGTATAGTAACAAGTACACGCAACCTGTATATTTCAACATATGTATAATATTCTCTAAAAAAAGTATTATTACATAAAAACTCCTTTTCTATAATATTTTTGTACAAAAAATAGGAAATAATATCAAAACTCGCATAGCATCGTTAGTAGCACAAACGTTTCTGCAACGGGTTTTTTGAAACTTAGCAACATTTCGTTAAAAGTCTCTAAAATGTCGTAGTAAAGTAGCGGAAACGTTGAAATGTCCGCTTTTTAAGTTGCGGTCCGATTTCGTAGAAATGTTTAAAAAACGATGCCCGATAAGTTGCAAAGTTTTTAATGTTTAAATTTATATAAACATTGTAAACTACATTTTTGAAACCATGCAGGTTTTGCCTGCTTAACCTTAAGCTTAAAACTTTACAACTTATCGGGCATCGTTTTTTAAACGTTTCTACGAAATCGGACCGCAACTTAAAAAGCGGACATTTCGACGTTTCCGCTACGTTACTACGACGTTTAAGAGACTTTTAACGAAACGTTGCTAAGTTTCAAGAAAACCCGTTGCAGAAACGTTTGTGCTACTAACGATGTTATGTGAGAAGTAACATCAAGTAAAACTTTGTAAATTTTTTGTACGTTGTAAAATATAAAACATTCTAAAACAATAGGAAGTTTAACTCTTTTGCGGCTAGCACCGGCTATATCGAGCATCGACGAATTAATTTGCAAGTGACTAAAGCCGGTTATATCTAGTATCGACAAAATAATCCACAGTGGCTAAACATTTAACACATTGTTGACCAGCAATTTTACTGAAAATTTATCTCATGTCACCGGCTATTATTTCGTAATTGGAAGTGGAAGTAAAACAATAAAAATAAACTTTAATAAATTTTATTTATTATTCAACTTTTAATATTTCTTTTTTGTATGATAAGCAGTATAACAATCACCTACGTGTAATGGTACACAACAGCTTTTACAAATATAAAAGCCGTTGTGTACCATTACTGCCGTAATGGTACACAAAACGCATCACGAGTTAACTCGTGACCGGTCAGCAACGTTCAGCCATAAAAACACGAGTTAAGGACGTTCTCCGACTACAGTGGTTAGCAACCTAAATACAGTGGTTAGCAACCTAAAATATCTCTTCTCATGAGTAAGTTTGTACTGCTGTAACAAAGTTAAGTTGCGCTATTCAGCACTGCTAAGACCCGCTTACTCTGCGCAGAAGTTCAAAAATAGCTGCAGTACACAATAGCGCACATAAATCCAGCAAAACAAAAAAAAAACCAAAAAAAAAACAAAAAAAAAGCTATAGTTTGAAAACAAGGGTTGCTTGCCATATTATTCAAAATCGTATTTTAATTAAGACACTCTCCGCTACCACATACTTGTTTTTTAAAAAAATCCTACAAAAATTGTCGTCAGTAACTTTAAAAAACCCCACTTCACAAAAGCTCAGCATAGGAAATCCATGTTAAAAATTGAAACTTAAATCTTCCATATTTTGGAATTTAACATTGCTACCCCTATTATCCAAAAAGGCTACTTATAAATAAGATCATAAACTATGTATATCGCAAATTTAAAGAAAATCCTACGAAAATCAATAATTCGGAGAACGTCCTTAACTCGTGACCGGTCAACAATGTGTTAAGAAATAGATTTTAGAAAGAAAGAGTCGTATTTTGTTCCTGACATTCCGTTCAATGAAGCAATATTGACGGCTAGTATCGCCGCTGCGAAAGGGTTAAATTTTAGTATTGTATGACTAATGTATTTTTTATACTTCTAATAAAATGTACTTACGTTGAATTGTGTACATTTATAGACTTTGCTTTGTGTGAAAATATGAAAATCTATGTGAAATTATTTTTAAAATAAAAAATATTTAATGCAAAAAACCTTGGCGCAGTTGCACCGGAAACCATATTAACCTAAAGTTCAGTCTGTAATAGCTATTTAATAACTTTCTCAAAATATAAAGAAAAAATACACATAATAATTACGTACATAAATCACACTTAACGTTTTACGTTTCGATTCTCGATTCGAATCATTTTCAACAAGATATAAAGAAAAAAATTTCCTGCGCAACAACAAAGAAAAAGTATAAATAGTAGAAGTGAAACATGAGTGATTACAATAAATAAATAATTGGCGGTAAACTCACAGATACAAAAAAAATATAGAAAAAATAAATAAAAGTATTAAAATGTTGTCAGACTCGCCATAAGTTGTCTATGAATTCAGTCAGAAGATGATAAAAGTTTGAAAAGATCGTTGCTTAAACACAAATAAACATGTCAAACTTCACGAGTCAAAGGTGGTAGGTGCATAGACGTAGAATGTATAGACCACGAAGTAAGAGTAAGGAGATCGAACTTCTCGTGACATATACAAAAGTGGTCCCGATAGTGACGATTCATTAGAACTTCGGAGGGAATTCGCAGCTATGGCATGTTGGATTCGAGAATGTGAGACCGTGCCGTAACTTTTCCTATTCGGCAACCGAGGCACTTGAAAGTCGGAGATTCCAGGTTCGACTCCTGGCCGAGGAGTTTTTTTCGCAATATAAATTTAATTTCAATTAGGGAGGTATTTGGGATCTCTCATATACGAGATGCAAGTATAGCATCCTATATGAATTTTAGAATTGTTATTACAATTCAAAGTTCACGTGTAAAAATTTACACGTGAACACGTATATATGTATATATATACACGTATAATTTCCGCACAACCCCTAGCGAACGGCTCTCATGACCGAATATATATTTATTAGTTTGGAAACTTCGGAGCCTTAAAAAGATTCTTTAATTCTGGAGTGACTTTCTAGTGCGCTGCAGCAGATCTACCCCTGCTGTTGTTTGCGGAGATTTCAACGGAATGAGTCCCTTCTGGGGCCCTACCTCCACCACTCCGGATGGTGAAATCTCTAAACTTGAAACAGGCATCAACTCCTCTTCACTGGTCGTCTTAAATGACGGTAACCATACCTGGTGCTCGAATGACTTATCGAGATTCTCAGCGATCGACATCACACTCTCTACACCGGATCTATCCAACCGGTGTGCATAGAAAGTGGCAGATTACAACTACGGCAGTGATCATTTTCCCATTTTTATCACTATTCAAGACATTTCTCACGGCTCGATCCCCTGCCGTCCTTTCATCTCGGATGTGACCGTGGCCTACGACAGGTTAGTGGATGGTGTCACGGAGGCCCTTCTATCTTCGGGTGCAAAAATTATATCAACTACGTCCTCTATAGCGCCACCAGGAAACCACCCACCCCGTGGTGGGATGACTCCTGCACGCAAGAGATCCGTCGTAAACGTTCTTCCTTCATGGCCTTTTAAAGACATCCTTGTCTTTCTCTACTCAATGAGTACCTCCGCGTTGCAAAGGAGGTCGCACGTTTTCTTCGCAGAAAGAAGCGTAGCGCCTTTCGAAAATTCGTCAGCTCTCTTTATGCCAATTCAGATATTGGGTCTGTATGGTCTACCGTAAGGACCTTATCTCATGCCCGGAACCATGCTTGTGATGAAAATAACAAAAATAACATTGACGAAGACGATCTCCTTAAGGTTTTCGACAAAATTGTTCCCTTGGACCCATGTGTACTTCTGGTGGGAGATACTGTCCTAGACAATATCCACCCCCTCCGGACTGATCTAGACAACACATTTTTATCCGATCCGATTTTCAGGGAAAAATACCAATATACTATACCGGTTATTTCTACTCTAAAAATTAAGTCAGCGCCTGGCCCTGACATGCTATCAAATAATATAATCTCTCACTTTCCGGAGGCCTTACACTCCTTGCTTCTTCGTATCTTAAATCGCATGTTTTCCTCTCAAACTTACCCTTTACAATGGCACAAATATTTTGTCATTTTTATACCTAAACCGGACAAACGGGGAGCGTACCGACCAATATCCCTAGCTAACAACATATTAAAAGTTTTAGAAAAAATAATATGTAGACGTATGGAATGGTGGGCTGAAAACTGCGGCCTGATTCCTTCATATCAGTTTGGATTTCGCCGTGGATTGTCGTGTACCGATAACATTTCCGTCTTAGTTTTGCATATTAAATTAGCCAACAACTCTCGTCAAGTCACGGATGCCGCGTTCCTTGATATCAAAGGAGCGCTTGACAATGTCATTCCTTCCACTCTCCTAGAAATTCTGCGAAAACTCCAATTTACTTTACCAAGTGGTCTCTTTCATTTCCACAGTCATATCCCACCGGTCGTTGTCGGGCTATGTGGCCGGTCGTCCCTTTCAGTCTCGAGACACTACACGAGGACTACCACAGGGTTCCGTCCTAAGCCCACTTCTATTCAATTTATATATGTCTTTTCTCGACTCGTGCCTTCCACTTCCGGTCAAAATTTTAATGTACGCAGATGACATTGTCATTTATTGCTCTCACCCTTCTATCGCATACATAACACATTAACTTAATATGGCCCTCGCAAATCTTCATGCTCATCCTATTGATCTAGGTTTGCGTTTGTCCCCGGAGAAATCTTCAGTTACCTTTTTCTCTCTGAACCACCTCCGCAATATGAGATGGCTCATCCACCGGAATAACATTAAGATCTCTCTAAACAATGTCAATATTCCCATTACTTGAAAGGTCAGATTCTTGGAGGTCGTCTTAGACTACGCTCTTAACTGGAAGCCTCATATTGCGGAAATTAGGAAACGCGTTCTCTTACGTGTCAATATACTGAAGGCTATTTCCGGTATACGGTAGGGTGCCCACTCGAGTATTCTGATAACAGCCTATAAGGGTCTGATACGGTCAGTCCTAGACTGGGGTTGTCAGGTTCTTTTACCTTTGAAGAAACGTGAAGGTCTTATCCTTGACAGACTCCAGTACGTATGCGCTCGGCTATCTTGCGGCCTGATGCGTAC